AGTAGAAAGCCTTGATTTCTTCTGTAGAAGAGTGATTTGGAGCTGCTGACCTTGAAGTTAGCACCCCAAGGAACAATTATACTACCATGGCGCCTACCTAGTGGAATGTTCCTTTGATTTCATAACTGCTGTTTCCATGGGTCTTGATCTTGGATTGTGGATACAAGCACAAACAATGTCCATCTTCTCTCCATTTATAGTGATGTTGCTTATTGGCCCAATTTTGAGAATTTTTGCTAATGTTGAGGTGTAATCCATAGTGAAGGCTGTAATTTTTTATTTTTTTTATCAGTAAGTGCTTCAAGTCCTCTTGGCTTTCAGCAATCAAGATTGTGTCATCTCCATATTATACAATGTTAATGAGCTTTTCTCCAATCCTGATGCCAAGGTTCTTCACACAGTCTAGTTTCTCAGATCATTCACTCAGCATACATATTGAAGAACTGTGGTGGAGGAATACAGCCCTCATGTACACCTTTTCTGCTTTTAAACTATATAGTATTTCCTTGTTATTTTAAAACAACTGCCTTTGGTCTACTTACATGTTCCACAGGAGCACAATTAAGTCTTGGGAACTTGCATTGTTCACACTGTTACCTGTCATTTGTTATGATCCACATAATCAAATACCTTTTCAAAATTGGTACATATCTTTCTGGTATTTGGCATTTTGTGTAGGCTAAATTTTGATAGTAAGATAGAAGAATCACAATGGTATTTGGTATTCAGCATAAATTAAGTTTGCCTTGTTGACTTTTTTTTAAATGTTTTCTTATTTTCTTAAGGTTTGGTGCTATAGTAGAAAAGTTTCATATTCAGTAACACCCATGAGAGTGTCCTTTGAGGTTAAATATATGATATTACTTTTTGTTTTTCCTGCTGACTGGAGCCTTGGTTACATGTTGGGCTGTGATCTGTATGGTTGGCAGTTCCAAACCACCAGCAGCTCCTTAGGAGAATGAACGGGCTTTCTACTCCCGTAAACATTTACAGTTTCGGAAACCCACAGTGGGGCGTCACTATGAGTCAGCGTTGACTCAGTGGCAGTGAGTTTGGTTTGGTTTGATTTCCATGATGTAGATTCCAAGTCCACGTATTTTCTAAAATGTGTTCCTTGGTCTCAGTGTTAAACAACTCTCCTTTTCATCTTTTACCACAACTTTATAAAGCGGTAACCTCCAAATTGGTCTCCCTTAATGTGCAGTTTCTTCACATTTTTTTTTACCTGCCAAAATGAACTATGGAAATCACAATGATGAGTACATGATTTAATTAAAGACAGAATTAAAAATTTTAACTTTTGATTCATGTTGAAAGGAAGAAAATTCAGTAATATTCGAAACCCCCTCATGTTTCACTGAATTATCTTTTTATTTCAAATCTTTTACTGGTTCTGCAGCCTCTAAGTATGCGACCCCAGAGTCTAAAAAGACCTCCTGTCATTTAAGCACTTAAATATTTTGCTATGTTTTTCTTCTAGCCAGCTCTAGTGTACACTGTCCAGCTTGTAAGCCTTCAAATGCATAATGCTTTTTTTTCTCTTTCTTACCTTTGTTCAAGTTCTTCCCTTCAATTATGCTTAGCTAGATCCTACTCATACTTAGAGGTTCAACTCATTTATCATTTTTCCTAGGAAGTCTTCATCTTATTTCCAGAATTGGTGCCATTCCGTGGTATCCCTAAAATGTCCTGGAGTGTATTCATCATGGACTTTAATGTTCTTTTCATTTTTTATAGTTAAACAGTATTTTTTTTCCTTTTTGCTTAAATAGGAATGGGGGCTTCTTAAGATCGTGGATGCTTTTTATTGGTGTAAACCATGTGCTTGAAATACATACGATTTATATATACTGTATATACTTGAGTATAAGCCGAGTTTTTCAGCACATTTTTAATGCAGTTTTTGTGGTAAAATTAGGTGCCTTGGCGGATCTTCAGGTCGGCTTATACTCGAGTATATAGGTAGATACTAAATGCCTCAGTGAAGGAAGCTCAAATGTAACCCTTTCAGAAGATTATATTGTTCTTTGCCTTCAGGCATTGTGCTTATGATAAAAATCTTCATAGACGCTGAA